TAAAATGGGTTTTACGTATCGGAGAATGTTCTATATTGGAAGATATACCTGTAGAGTTTGCAGAATAGTAATTTTTTACCCCTAATTTTAGCTATTTTATTAATACAAAAGTCCAGAAAACTGTGACTCTGTGTCAACCTGGCTACAGTACTGAATCAAAACGATAGTTAATGTTATTTGTTGACAAAAGTAACAAATAATTCTGGCGCTATGCCGGGCTTTCTTATGGAGTCCAGGCTACGTTTGATTGTTTTAAGTTTGCGCAGCGCCTGTTTTACGAACTTTCTCTCTACTCTTCGAGCGCTACGCTACAAACCTCTGCAAAGAGTAAAGATTAAAACAGTAGAAGAAGAGCAACGTAACAAGCAGTGAGTAACAGCAAAAACGAGTTTCAGTAGAGGTAGCAAACTCTAGCTAGCATCACAGGAAGTACCGCGATCTCCTTCGCCATGCTCTTCTTAGTGTCCGCTATCTCTGAAATCTTTCAGATGGCAAACGTCAGGGCGGAGGAGTGTTCAGCAGTCGACCAGCTAATCCAGCACAGAGAGAGACTTCAGATTTTACTCACTAGAGAAACGTCTTTCTACGCGCAAGATAATGCAGCATATACTGTACTGTATGTGTTCAGGAGAGCTCCTACTTGGACAGTGTGTTTACGACAGATTCTCATACTGCAAACAGGCTACGAATATTAACGTAAATCTGCGAATCTGGAAATGAGAGCTTTTACCTGAAAAGTCCTGTCCAGTGCAGTTCCATCCGGTCATAGTCAGCATGGAAGGCAAAGGGGATCCAGGCCTTAGGTGCCTTTCTTTCTCTCTGTCCTGTTCCCTGTCCCAGTTTCTTTCAGCTTGCCGAGTTATATGTCTCACTGTGTCCTTGTTCTTCCTGTTCTTTCTTCGCCCTGACCCTGAAAGGGGTTGCCAGGGACCCTCCCCACCTCCGACAGAAGTCCCGGCCATTTCTGCCTTACCTTGGCTTTTGACTGCTCCCGTGTGAGACTCATGGGAATTGGACGAGGACGAGTTTGGGGACACCTGCTCCTCTTTGACAGTGACTTGCCTGTTGTCATGTGGCCAGGCAGGCTGCGAGTCTTGACCGGTCTCCTCCTGGCTCTCGTGGCTCTTAAAAGGTTCTTGGTCCTCCTTCCCATACATACTGCCCCCCTCGTGGCAGCTGGCGATGGCTGAGTCCCCGGAGGAGTTCGCCGGGCTTGTGTGCCATGGTGAGGTGCTGCGACCAGACATAATGGAGGCCAGAGCTTCAGAGGCTGTGCCTGCGAACCCCACTCCTCCGTTTAATCCGGCTCTGATGACATTTCCTGTTTTGGATGAAGTCAGTCCTCCTTCATTACGACCCTCTTCCCCACCTAAGTTAGCAGCGGCGATCGCTCCCATTTCAAAGTCAGGCAACTCATCAGCCATGTCAGAGCGGATGGTAATGTCCAGCGCTGCCTTGATAAACCTGTGGCAGGCCTGTACAATGTCTGTCATCTGCAGATAACTAGCCGCCGACATGACCTCGATTACGTTTTTGCTCGTCAGAGCGAGGTGTGCCGAATATATGAAGTCCAGAATGGCTTTGAATCCTGTTGCTGTGACAATGTCCAGGTGAGTGACAGTTGTCTGGTGATGAGGCTCTGCACCTTTTTTGACCTGGAAGAAAAAAAAAA